CAATTACAATCTTCTAGACATTGTTGAAAAATGATCCATTTTGTATTTTACAAGTTGTAATCATGTCTTGACGGTTTTAAACGTGATTTTCCTTTCATTGTAGATACAGCCAGCTTCTTAGAAAATGATTGAAATACAGAGGATGCATTAAAAATATGTGCTTCAACAATGGTCCCCCCACCCCCCCAACGCCCTTTAAAGCTTAACATTTGAATGAGTACTGGGAAGGAGAGGTGATTTGGAAGATGTGTGAGGCTGATGATATGCTTTTGTAGGCCAAACCCCGATTAGCTTTTTTTTTTTTAATGTCAAAACAATATCGCTTTGTCTTTTTTTAGAACAAAAACATCAACTGGTTTTCTGATCGGTTTCACGTTAAATCCATAATGTTTTTTTATAAAACCTAACTGGGTTCAACAAGTTAGTCTACTAATCATTTGGCCACTCTGGCTCCCATGCATAAAATTAGTAAAGTTAGGTGAAGTTTAACCGGTAACTATACTGACAAAATATAAAAAGAAGAAGTCGTGTTCAGTTCGGATTCCCGCCGTATCAAGAGAGTAAAAAGGATGCCTAAATCTCGATCTCGCATCAGACAATATCCTCAACGATGCATACGAATAACGAGAAGGGGAGAGAATATAAGCTTGTTAATGACGCACACACCACCACCATCCCTTAAAAAAAACAAAAAACCAAAGAGAATAAAAGGTAAGGATTCTCTCTCCACGTCTGATGTCAACACCTCACAGGTCACAATGCAAAGCAGGCCAAACCGGCCACGTGACATGTGTTTTTTCATTTCGGCTTGGAGGGAGATAAAGGGGGCTGGGGCTTGGCCTTTGGGAATGGAGTCGTATCTTTTTGTTTTGTCCAGCTGTCCCCTTTCAGATTATGAAAATAATTAATTAAAGTGGGGAGCGTGTTTGGTACGGTCGATGGTGTTTTTAAGGCACTAAATTAATATTATTTTCTTACCATTCTCGTGACAAAATATCTATAAATATATTTTTAAAAAATTATTAATTTAATGTTCTTAGATAAGTATACTTTAAAGAACACCGCAAGGTAGAAACCAAATAATAATTGGAACAACTAGATCGCAAGAGAATACGTTGACACTTCACAACAATTTAGTTCTTTTAATCAGTCCATAATATCTACCGAAAATATATTTAGTTTTAAAATCCAGCTTGTAATTGAATCTTAGATCAAATCTAGGTTATTAGTTGGAAGGATTTTTCTAATCAAAACAATATTATTTTAATTTTTTTAAAATAATATATGATCAAAGTTAATTTAATTATATATCAATCCAAGTTTTTAATGGATTCAATAAATATTTTTACTCTAATTATTCAATCCCCCGATGATTTGTCGGGACTATTCTAATTTTAAAACAATAATTAAAAATAAATATGTATTAAAACACGGACAAAGATTAAATAAACTTCAAAGTTTGGCCAACTTGCCAATGATTTTTCTCCACTTTGCTGATTTAAACGTAGATAATACAATAATGTTTTTAAATGTTTGAGAACGGATGTAAATTATATTATTAAAAAATTTAATTTTTTTTATATATTTTGTATTGTTTAATGTATTCATCTTAAAAATAATTTTTTTAAAACTAAAAAAATATTATTTTAATATAAAAAACACTTTAAAAAAAATCACAACCATACTTTAAACTAACTTTATATATTAGATCCTCAGTATTTCCATAAATTCTCCGTCATATCATGGATTCGTTTTTAGTTAACAAAACTATTAAATAGTTGCATAACATTCACATTATTTTACTTTATTTATAAAAAAACTAGTTAATTCTCTCTTTTTTTTTATTTTGTATAATATGAAATTCACGAGATAAACCAAATTATATATAAAAAAACCTTAACTTTTACTTTTTTTTCGCTATAGTCTACCTTGACACATGAAAGATTTTAATTAATTTAATGAGTTTTGTGGAGACAAAGAGAGATTTTAATTAATTTTCATGATTTCATGATATTTACATGACAATTTGATAGCGGCAACAATGGCGGAATCAGGGGCCTGATTGATTCAAGAAAGTTGTTATGTGGTAGCAATAACAGCCTGCAATGACTTGATGATACCTCTGCTATGTGTGGTGGACTGATTATTCGTATTAATTTATGACGCTAAACTTTTTTTTATTTTTTTATAATTTAATCACGACAACTGCTACATATAGTTTTGCTTTATGGGTAAAAATTAATTACATATTTTAGCTAGAACCTAGTTGGTAGGCTTGATTTGAGAATTTATTCGAAAAATTCTCGAAAAAATATTAAGGTTATCTAATAAACACCTAGGAAATTTATCATGTGGAGTCTAATTTAAATAAAATTTTAATTTGATTGAAAAATTATTAATATAGTTAAACCTGATTGATTAAAAAGAAATTTTAATAATCTAGTTAGCTAACAATATCCATCCAAACTTTACTAATTCAGTGCTCGTATTTTTTTAAATAAAATAATATTATTTTAATAAAATTATTAACTTTATTATATATGGGTTAATCTAATAACCGGGTAACTCAAGTTTTTTTTTTTAAAAAATAAAATTATAGTTAAATTAAGATAATTATGCTTAAAAATATAAATCTCATAATAAACTCTTGATAATAATAATTAAAATTAATTTATTTACTTAAATTTATTTAACTCATGTGGTGTTATTTTTAAAAGAATATTTAAGAGTGGGGTAATAATTATATGTTAAAATGATTTTTTAATTGGAAATATATTAAAATAATATATTATATTTTTTAAAAATTATTTTTGATATTAGTATATGAAAAGGATATAAAAATATGATAAAAAATTAATTTGAGATAAAAAAATTAAAATTAAATTATTTTAAAAATATAAAAATAAACTGATATGAAAAATAAATCTAATCTTAATTAACATGTAGAGTAACGAAAATAAACTGTTGAGTGAAATTAAACAAAAATAAAAATAAAAATAAATAAATAAAAGGTCTGAAGTCAGAGTCAATAATTTTAACCAGAACCAATAGTTTACACTTTCTACTTTGTAGTGCACATAAAAAATAATTTTATTCTTGAAGGAAGAATACATTAGATGGAGTCAGGTTGAGGTTCCTTCATTTAAATGATGATATAGTAGAAGAGCAAATGTTATTGGTGGGGCTGTGACTGTGACTGGAATCTGAGTGCGAGCCAAAAGAAACGAAAAAAATAATACTACTGAAAACAGAACATAAGCACAAATCCAGAGAGGAAAGGATAAAGAAAGGTGGCTAGTCAATCTCTTAATAACCAAAAAAGCAAGTAAAAATCTCTCCACATTTAATTTTTCCATAGCATTTATGCTCTCTAGTTATTACCCACTTTGATTGTGCAGTAACTCCACAAGATCTGAAAATTTAAGCCACAAATCTGTGTTTAACCATAGCTTAAAAACCCACCTTGTTTTTGTGTTCTTCCAACTTTTTAAGAGAGAGGGTCAAAGCATGGAGGTTGCCCAGATGCAGAGAGCATGGGTTGAATATACCAAGTCCTTGTTTAGGGAGGTAGTGCAAAAACAAATAAAAATGTTGTTAACTTTCTTTAATCTGTCTCTGTTTTGCTTTTGAGTTTTGTCAGTGTTTGTGTTGGGTTTTCATCTCTGTATGTTCTTTTTTTGGGTGGATGAAGGGTTTTCTGGATGCCCAGTTTCAACAGCTTCAGCTTCTGCAAGATGAGAGCAACCCAGATTTTGTTGCTGAAGTGGTATCTCTCTTCTTTGAAGATTCAGAGAGGCTTCTGACTGATCTAACCTCTGCCTTGTAAGGAGACTCCCTCTCTCAGGCATCTGAAACTGCTTGATGTTGATTAAAAGTTTTGAGCTTTCCTTTTGGTTATGGTTGATTCTAGCTAGCTGACTGTATTTTAACTAAATGGGTTTTCTTTTTACCTCTCCTTTTATAGAGAACAGCAAAATATAGACTTCAAAAAGGTTGATGCTCATGTTCACCAGTTTAAGGGTAGCAGCTCCAGGTACATGTTTGCTTCCTATACAACTAAAAAAAAAAGCACATTCTTCAGGGTTTGTTTTTCTCCATATTGGATATGAAATGCATTGAACCTTACAAAAACAGTTCAGATCTAATACACATGGCCTAGAAAAACTAGACATGGAATAGTTAAAATTGTTTGTTTTTCTTTTTAGTTTATTTTTGTTTGATTTAATAAAGATGAATTCTTCTCTTCAACTCAGTTTTTCGATGTTTGATTACAAGATTGGATTTTGTGTTGTATAGCATAGGTGCACTGAGAGTTAAAAATGACTGCATCACCTTTCGCAACGTCTGTGAGGAACAGAACATTGAGGGGTGAGTTATTTTTCTCTGCCGCATTCTCCATATTGTTTTCTTTCATCTTTTCAAATTATTTTCCTAGTTTTTTTTTCTCATTTAGCAATTGAATCTCAGGATTAGTATTTTTAAGTGAAACAATGTTTAATATTACAATTACAAGTGATTGGTTACTTGGATTGCAGGTGCCAGAGATGTCTGCAGCAATTGAAACAGGATTACTACTTTGTGAAGAGCAAGCTTGAAGCTCTAATCAGGGTGGGTAGAGTCAATGTACCTTTGCTTAATAACATGCTCATTTGTTTAAAGAAATCTAGCTGTTGAAGTTCTTTTATTTTCATGTTTTGTTTTTCAAATGAAATGTTTTCTATAACAGTTGGAGCAACAGATCGTGGCAGCTTGCGGGACGATTCCTATGGAAGAATTGAGTTCTTAAGGCTATCAGTTCAATGCAAGGAAAGCTGCAGGTAAAAGTGGGAGGATTACTGTAGAGAAGCTTTTTTGGGTTTTTCGCGTTCTACTAGTCTCACTGGAAGGTTCTGTTTAACTAATGGGATTGTTCTTGTATTAATTCATGAAGATAAGTCCCATGAACTACAACATATCATTATGTGCTTCAATCCAGACAACCATTGCTCTTCATGCTTCTCTTTTATTTACAATCTTTTTCTTTGTTCTTCATGCTAGACAATCTAATGGTTTTGACCAAGATTCTCAAGAAAAACTTTTTTGACACAACAGAAGATGCAATATAAACTTGGATTATAAATTCAAATAGTAAAATCATAAATAAAATATTTTAACTAATTCTATTTTAACAATTCTAGTAAAGTGATAAATAATAATATAATATGATTAAAATAAAAGTGAAATAAACAATATAAATATTTAAACATTTTAAAATATATAATTCAAATAAATTTTTTTACCAATTTAACTTGATTTTACACCTTTTATATGTTTTAACTATGATTTTATGAGTCAAAATATTTAAACATTTTAAAATATATAATTTAAATAAAAAACTTGCCAATTTAACTTGATTTTACACTTTTTTATATGTTTTAACTATTTTTTTACATTTTTCGATAATATTGGTTTGGACTGCTGATTATTATATTTCAAGAGCTGCATCTGATCTGATTTCTTGACATGGATTCTTGTTCATGCAATATTTCCAGAGGTTAATGTCGATGCAGTCATCACTGCAAGATCATTGATTTGACAGGATTTAGGCAACTTGATTTTGGGTTTTAGGGACGTTGGTTTTTGGTCTCAATCGACAACGTACAAGGTGGTTTACACTGAGAGTCAGTATTTTTAACAGGCAGGGGATTTATCTTTCAATCAAGTGCAATATTGGTGTTGTTTGTAGAAGTAAGAGAGCCCCATTTCCTAATTAATTAAAAATTGGTTTCTCATTGTCACCGCAGTAATTTTTGCAATCTGTACGCTCAGTTTGATACTGAAGATCTTACAGGACTAGCACACAATTTCAATGGCCGGTTAGTGAAGCAATATTGATCTTCCTACCTCAAAGATCTGTTCAAGTTCTGAAGTTGCCAATTATAAATGGCAACTGTTTAACAAAGCCCTCAGATGGGTCTTAAGTTTACCATGATATTGAATCATTGGACAGCCAATACTTTTATGAAATCAACTGGAAAGATTTTGATTTTTAAGGTCAACCGTAATCTGTTGAGGCTGTCTCTTCTGTCTGCCGCGAAGCAACGGACACAAACGTGGAGGTTAGTTGTGATAAAAAAAAAAAAAAAAAACCTACCCAGGTTTCGTTGCCATTGCCTGTTCAGTCTCCAAGTAGAGGACCGATCACTATCACCAAACATGTTTATGTTTTTATTACTTCTGTTTTAAAATTCTAACCTAACACAACCTTTTACAAATATTTTGTTCCAAGAAAAGATAGAACCCAAATTTTTAATGTATATGTTCACTGTTTCCCTGTAAGTTTACAGGCACTTTATGTATTTATTTTCACTATTCCAAGTACAGAAGAGCAGAACTAATAATTTCTTCCTGAGTTATTGGTCTAGTGAAATCCTGTACACAGAAGAGTTTATGCATACAATTAAAAAAATATCTGAGTTAAAAAAGATTAAAAAAAAGGAACCATTTCCTGTTGTCTGGAAATAATTAGCCCAATAAACTAAGCTTACCTTTGGTTAAATTTAGCGGCACACTCCAATTTCTTCTCTGCTCATCAAAGCTACCTATGACAGCAGATTGTTCCTTGCTGCGCAGCTGCTCTGTGAAAAGATCGTAATATGCTCCCAAGTCTACTTTCTCCACTATTTTAACCAATCTTCCTTGTTTTTCATCAATTACTATTCGTCCATCCTCTGATTCAACACCTTCAGCAAGGACCTTGATGGGTTTGACTCGGAATGTTGGGTCCAGTTTCGAAAAATTACCAGCTAACACTACAGCACCAAGGATTTCCCCTAAGAAGGTATCCTGCAGTGTGATATCATTTAGCAATAGCAGCTAAAGATTCTCCATCAGAGAAAGATCGAAGATACTCCATGTATTCAACAACATTCACTTGTAAATCTTAAGCTATCTAAAATGCAGAAAGTCCACGAAAGAATTTCAATTACACGTTGTGTAAAATGCTGATTCTGATCAGACAGTAAAAAACAGGAACCAAAATGATAGCAATGCTTTTCTTCTAGGATTATGATGTTCAAACGTACTGATACATGCTAAGATTAGAACCCTTACCGTATGTTGATATCTACGATGAGTTTCCTTCAAGTGGTAAAGCCTTGATAGCAAACGCTGCGCAAACAATGCCTCGGGTGTTGTGTTCATCTTGCGTAGCCTTTCTAGGATCTCTGGAAAGGAGCTGACTCTGCGTTGGACGCCGAGTGGAATTAGCGTGATGTCAAGTGAAGACTCAAAGACTGTCTTTGCAGCCAAGGGGTCAAGAAACATATTCAGTTCTGTATAGTCATTTAGATCGATGTTCGGAACATTTCCTTTATCTGTTTTACCATGGCTGATATGTCCTCCTACAACATAGACCTCCTGCAATGACATTTGAAACAACATAAGAATGTGTACCACCACTGTGTGGCCTCAACATTAGTCGCAAGTTATTTCGCATGAAAATGGTGGATAAGTCCACTGACCCGAATCACAGAGCTTATATTATTCTCTTTCTGTATTATCTTGGCTAAACTGGTCAAGGGGCCATTGGTCAATATGGTAATCTTAGATCCTGGATCCAATGTTCTTACAATGGACTCCCAGATTTCCAGTGCCAGAGGCTGTCTGAGTTCAGGGTGATCTGTGTCACGAGGAGCTCCATATTTCACAGAGTTTTCTGCAGTATACCTTGAGAAGAAAAATAAGCCCTTGATATTTGAGTCCCGAATAAAGCAAGATCACGGCTCAAATAAGAGGAAAGAAAAGGCATAAACATCTATGGATGGAAATTATACCTTCTAGGGCTTCGCGGTAAATCACGAGCAAGCCCATAGAGAGTGTCTGAGTCTAAAAGTCCACCACTCCCGTGAGGGATGGCCTTAAGGTACTTGCAGTCTCCAACCGCAGAGAAAACAGGATCAGACTGGTTCATTGCAAATACATCTCCTAGACCAACTGGAATATCATCACGGCCCATCATATGCAAAAAATCATAAACAATGTCTATCGTCGCAGCATTTGCCCATCCTGTTGGACTTACAATGATTCCCTGGATGAAACGATCAAGGGGATATAACAAACCCACTGTTTTCGAGAGTAGGGAAAGAGAACAGAAAAAGGCACCATAGTTGTGTTTTGTACAACTGGAACCAATGTGTTGGTAGTTGCAAGTATTATCAAACCCAACCCAACTCTACGGAATGACTCGAAAAACCTGCAACCTAGAGCCTGGTCCTAGCCGGTTTCATTTTGAATCCGTTTTGACATTGACTTGTTTAAATTGGCTAGGGATTTTTTTTTAAAAAACAAAACAATGTCTTTTTGATAAGAAAAGATTGAACCGGGTTGACATTAACAACTCAATGATCTTGGTCCTTTATTGGGTTAGATCCCGAGCTGGTTTTGACAAGCAGGGCTAATTGTATATGCTTGTTGGAAAATTGAAGTCACTTACCTTGACGTTGATCTCTTCTACGGGCACTTTAAGGAGATAGAATAAAGCCAGGAAATCTCCAACACTCATATCCATATCAAAGACAACAGGCTTCCCCAGTCCTTTGGTTCCAAAGTCCGGCCTGTAAAGAATTTCCTTGTAATGAGGAAATTGAGAGGTAAAATTAAACCTCCCAGATTGTTGAGGGTCATTCAGGACCTGTATTACCATTGCATTAGATTTTGTTGGTCTAGAGTTAAGGAATAAGCAAAAAGAACTTTAGATTCAGAAGAACAAGATTAATGCCTTGGTGAACTCACATCCAAGAAGCTCTTGTAGAATGCTTTGTCAAGTGTGCTATTCCTGTCAGGATTAGGCTTCGCTCTCGTAGCAACAAGAACACGCACTGCCTCTGCACCACTTACCTCCTTTGTATAGCCATCCTATATCGACCATTATGTTGCATCAGAAGGCCAGTTAACATTTTCGGAAAGGAAATTACAAGTTAAATCCTTAAAGAAATGACATCTTTCTCTGTGAACTACAGAAGATGGCATGCAGGGGTCCTAGAAAGATCACCTCACACCGCCCTTTCCCTTTCTCCCTGAGGCAAAGAGGATCTCGAAGGCCTGTCTGCACATGACCACTGTGCACTCCGCCTTTCGTTAGATTAAACCTTGGGACTTCACGGTGGTAAAAGAATGGATTCGAGCTATCACTTATCCCAAAAGGTTCATTTGAAGTCACTACTGTTATGTTCATGTACTCCATTTCAGCAAATTCATTTTCTTCATCTCGGTTTTGCGAGTTACGCATGGCAGAAACTGCTACACCAGCTGCGAAGGTGTCCCACATGTAATGGCTCTGCAAAAAATCTTGTCACTCACTGAAACACACATCCCATCGACAATCGTGTACAAGGAAACTGTCACTTGCTGCTGAGGAATCTTGAAGAAGAAGAACAAAACGACAAGGAAGATACGGAAGGATTACAGTGTAAAAGTTGTCGTCGGGCCGAGTGTCACGAGTCATTTTCAAGGACCGGAAGCAGTATTGTGCCTCGTAGGTGTGCTGGTTCTGCTCAAATGCCTTGAAGAAATTCTCATTTGTGGGAATGGTATTGGTTGCATCGAGGGGCACAAGTGTGAGAGGAATTCCAGAATGTAAAACCTAGAAGCAAATTTGCGTACTCTCCATTAATAATCACAGGCAACAATTCTTATTTATTACCTAGCTAATACATATATTTGTTTTTGCTCATTAATTAATTAAATACCTGGTATGCAGCAAAAGGATCTGCAAATATATTAAATTCAGCATAAGGATTACTATAGAGGTCTGCAAACAGATTGCCGTCTGACCTCACGGCCCCACCCATCACGTATATATGCTCAATATTGTTCTTCAGATGTGGATTGTTCATAAGAAAAACGCCAATATTTGTATGAGCTCCTGTAATTAAAACAGTGATAGGACCTGCAGATATCTTTTCTGTCAGCACTTGTTGGGCGGTTGGCTGTTGAAGAGGAGAATATTTCCTGCCGCCCTGGTTAATTTAGCAACAAAATTTTATACATAAAAAAAGAACTAGTTCTTTTGTTCATTTTAAAAACCCATTATTTTATTTTATAATTATTTCTCAGAAATAAAATTAATTTGTTATTCTCAAGTCGTAGAAATAATTATTATATTGAATTTCAATAAATAAATAAATAACTTATTTATTTAAGAAATATCTCAATTATATTCATAAATAAACAAGTCATATATGAATTAAGAAATTAAACTAATTAATTTTAATAATATCATAAATATCAATATCATTAAATTCATTTACTAAATATTGATTTTGATTTTCAAAAGGCAGCTAAAAGTGATTTGTCTATGTATTTTATTCAATTATTTTCATCAGTAAAGTATATAGGAAAACAAAATCCCATGTCTAAGATAGCGAAGGACTGGATTTGTTGGTTAGAACAATTTTTTTCTTATTGGTTAAAAAAAATTTCCAGGTAAGTAAGCACGTTTTTGTTTTTAAACTAAAAAAAAACATGTATAATTTAATTAGATAATAAAATAATAAATAATGCAGTATATAAATCAATTTATACAAAAAAGACATGAAATTTTATATAAAATAATATTATTGTTCTCACCGTTACGACAAAGGTTTTATAATTAAATTGTAATTTCTTTTATAGTAATGAATAGTATTTTATATCTAGATATACAATAATTTAATGACGAGATTTATTTATTTTTCTTAAATTAATAGAATCAAATTCAAGTAAAACGGGTGTTGGTGATTGTAAGAATGATCATATGAGGTTTGTGTAATGTAATAGGATAATACTTAGATAGCAACTATTATTTTTCCTCTTGTTCCGGTAGTATTACAAAATTTCTAAAACAGAACTAACCTCTCATTAACTTGGGTCAAGATTTTTTGTCGTAGATCTTACAAGATACACTTGAAAACCGGAAGTAGCTTAGGTTTCGTTTGAGATGTGTGTTTATTTTTGTGACTGAGATTAAGATTTGTGTATAAGACTTATAAAAATACTAGAAAAAATAAAATAAAAATTAATTTTTGTGATTGAGTTTTGTATATAATTAGATTGTAACCAACCTTAACCATAGTTTTAATTTTAATGATAAAAACAAAAACATTCTAAGTATGTATTTGGTTTAGAAATACGATGGATTTTTTTAAAAATACAATTATTTTAAAAGTACAAATTATATCTCACAAAAACAAAAAAAATATATGTTTTTAGGCTGCACCGTTCCAAATGGGCTCTAACTAATTACGTACCTGTGGCAGCAATGCTCTCCGTAAGCCGTAGTTAGAATCAAGATCCAGCCGTCCTCTAGGACCAGCAGGGATAGCTTGTCTGTATCTACAACCTCCTGCTGTTGTCTTCCCCTGGTTAATATCATACAATCTCAGGTATCATTGAGTCCATAAATTCACAGGCAACGAAAGATTAGTAAAAATTGCAGGGAAATCTAGCAGGAGATCATGAGGGTGGCACAGTTGAATGGACCGACCTGTTCAACTATAGGAAGAAAACCACCAACATCCGGGAATATGCGGCCATCTTCTGCTATTCCACCCTCACCTCCCATCCCAACAGACACGTCGTCACGGCCCATCATGTAAAGAATGTCATAGATTTGGCTCACACCATGCCCTGCATCTGTCCATGAGTTCGTGTTCACAGTGACTGCCTGGAGCGAGCATAGAGCAGACTGATGATCAAAGCAGACTCGATTGATGTAATTTGCTAAACACATACATGATCAATTGACAGACTGACCTCCAATCCAAATCGTGATCTGTTGAGCTTCAAGAGGTAGAAAAGAGCGAAGACATCATCAGTATCGACATCTGTGTCCAAAAGAATACGGTGTGCCTCTCCCTCTGCATGGCACAGATGATTAAATCCAACAAGTCCTAGAGTATTAATCAATGCTAAGAGCACCCAGAGATTCTTCTGCTGCAGCATTTTCTCTCCTCCGATTCACGATATATTTTACTGATCAAGTTCCATTCTTTGAAAAATAAACAAGAGACCAGGGAGACTAGATCGCTCTATATAGGCGTTTTGATAGATTTTTCATTAATTATGATGGCTACAGATATCCGATTTCGTTCTAAAGAATCAACGTAATTAAACATCTTCCTACCATGCATGCACCTTCCTTTTTCAAAGATGCGTGCATTCATTTTTTCGCCGCCATATTCTGTGCTATTTTTCCGATTTATGGTAAGAGATTTTTCCGATTTATGGTAAGAGATATCTTGGATTGCCTTGCGTTAGTCAACCGATACGAAATTTATTTCAAAAATAATCTCAAGGATACATTTGTGTCTGGGAGTGTGGTCAAACCCCAACAAATAATTCAAAGCAATTATTATTGTTAATTCGTGTCAGGTATTCTCTAGTTTAATTTCATAGAAAAATTATTTCTTACTAATTAGACATGGTTTAAATTTTAATAATTCATTTTTCCAAAACCAAAAAAGAAACAATTATGAAGTAAATTCAGGTAATTATGTTTTTTCAGTAGAGCAGAAGCATTTATCTTTGGATATGATAGACCTGATTTTGTTTGAATAAAATGTAACATGAAATAGAAATAACATTAATATATATATATTACCTTAGAATAGATTTTGCCCCATTTCTCAAAAAAGAAAAAAAAAAATCTAACTTCGTCACTGAAGATATTCTCCAAATTCCAAGCGCTGGATACGTGCACAAAGATCATAAATATGAAATAGCAAGTAGGTAAAATCTGAGTAGAGGAAGGGGAGGAAAAAAATAGTCCTTTTAGCTATTGTTATGTTATGCTACGCTGCTTTGATATTAAATATATCATGTTTGATAATTAATATGATTAAAAAATTAATGTTTTTTTTTAATATAAAAGTATTAAAATAATAAATAATCTAGCAAGATCGGGTTGAACCATAAAAAAATTAACTATATAAATTATAAATAATAACAACAATAACAGTAGTAGTAGTAGTAATAATAATAATAAAAAGTTCAAAAGGATTTTGAGATTCTAATATTAATGTGAGGATTAAACAATAATAAAAACAAATGTTAATGCCTTGTTTGTTTCAAGGAAAATGAATTCCTGGAATTTATTTTCCTTACTTTCCCATGTTTGGTAACAAAATGGAAAAGTAGTCAATGAAAACTTAATTCCGGTCAACATAAAAAAAACGCTTTATGAAAGGAAAGTGTTTTCCTTCTGATAAAGAAAGGAAAACACTTTCCCTTTTTTCATTGTCTACTTTTACAAAGCACGATCTGTCTCTCTTTTTCTTGAAGCATTTTAGAACCATTTCTTCTGTGGACAATTGAAGCATTTTAATTTCAGGTATTTTTTTATTTCCTTTATCTTTTTATCTTCTTTGTAGATTTGTAAAAATTATTGTATAATATTTCCATAACACAACAATTTTTGCATGATAATTTTCTTCTTCATCACTCATGAACATTCAGCAGTTTATTATACCCAAACAAACATCATCAAATGCAAAACGAGGGGCACTTGAAAATCCCCAAACCATGTTAATCAATCTTCCC